AAGGATGTCTGACTGCAGCTTAGGTCTGCTCCCCGCTGGCAAGTGGACATCCCCCGAGGGCTGCCGGGCTGCCAGAGGGATATCTGACTGCCATCTTGGGCCAGATCCCCCAGGGAGCAGGCCTAAGCCAGCAAGTGGTCATCCCCTGAGGGCTGCCGGGCTGCCAGAGGGATATCTGACTGCCATCTTGGGCCAGATCCCCCAGGGAGCAGGCCTAAGCCAGCAAGTGGTCATCCCCTGAGGGCTGCCGGGCTGCCAGAGGGATATCTGACTGCCATCTTGGGCCAGATCCCCCAGGGAGCAGGCCTAAGCCAGCAAGTGGTCATCCCCTGAGGGCTGCCGGGCTGCCAGAGGGATATCTGACTGCCATCTTGGGCCAGATCCCCCAGGGAGCAGGCCTAAGCCAGCAAGTGGTCATCCCCTGAGGGCTGCCGGGCTGCCAGAGGGATATCTGACTGCCATCTTGGGCCAGATCCCCCAGGGAGCAGGCCTAAGCCAGCAAGTGGTCATCCCCTGAGGGCTGCCGGGCTGCCAGAGGGATATCTGACTGCCATCTTGGGCCAGATCCCCCAGGGAGCAGGCCTAAGCCAGCAAGTGGTCATCCCCTGAGGGCTGCCGGGCTGCCAGAGGGATGTCTGATTGCCATCTTAGGCTCAATCCCCCGGGGAGCAGGCCTAAGCCAGCAGGTGGTCATCCCCCGAGGGGTCTCAGACTGCAAGAGGGCACAGGCCGGGCTGAGGGACCCCCCGCCCCACCGAGTGCACAAATTTTTGTGCACCAGGCCTCTAGTCTATATAATAAAAGCCTAAGCGGCTGTTACAGCAAAACAACCGGAACGACTAGTCACTATGATGCACACTGACCACCAGGGGGCAGACGCTCAATGCAGGAGCTGCCCCCTGGTGGTCAGTGCGCTCCCATAGGGGGAGCGCTGCTCAGCCAGAAGCTGGGCTCACGGCTGGTGAGTGCAGCAGTGGTGGCGGGGGCCTCTTCCGCCTCTGCGGCAGCACTAAGGAGCAGCAAGCTGAGCGGTATGGAGCGAGCAGGTGGGCAGTAAGGAGCGAGGGGTCCCAGACTGCGAGAGGGATGTTCGACTGCCAGCTTGTTTTAAGCTGGCAGAAAAACATCCCCCGACTGTGAGAGGGCACAGGCCGGGCTGAGGGCCCCCCCCCCCGCCAGTGCACGAATTTCATGCACCAGGCCTCTAGTTTATATATATATAAAAGCCTAATGTGCTAAGTGTCTGACAGTTCGACCATTCAACCATTCGCTATGACGTGCACTGACCACCAGGGGGCAGATGTTCCAACCAGTAGGTTAGCTTGCTGCTGGGGTCTGGCTGATCAGGACTGGACAAGATGGGCCAGACACACCCTGGAGCCCTACTGTGGTCCCTCCCCGGCCAGGTTGAGGGACCCCACTGGTGCACGAATCCGTGCACTGGGCCTCTAGTAGGTTTAATAAAGAGCACGGAGTATGAGAAGGGCAGTTCCTTATATATTTTTAAAAGTTGAAATATAAACTAATTTCTGAAAATAGATCTGTAATACAGTATTAAAACTTAAAATAAACTGTTTAATACTGTTTTTTTAAATATATTTTATTGATTTTTTACAGAGAGGAAGGGAGAGGGATAGAGAGTTACAAACATCGATGAGAGAGAAACATTGATCAGCTGCCTCTTGCACACCCCCTACTAGGGATGTGCTCGCAACCAAGGTACATGCCCTTGACCGGAATTGAACCTGGGACCTTTGAGTCCGCAGGCTGACGCTCTATCCACTGAGCCAAACCGGTCAGGGCTGTTTAATACTATTGACCAATCATTTCTTTAAACATTCATTGTAGTTTCATTCTAAAAAGAGATGACTCACAAAACGGAAGACTTATAAAGTTCTGCAAGGATCTCAACAAATTAGATTATGTAGCTCTTGGGAGTCACTATGTCAAATTCTAATGGTAGAACAAAGTCAAACTACTATTTGTCAAAAAACATACTGTATAGAAAAGTATAAGGGAATTACAACAAAGAATTGAAATGATTCATTACTTAGGGGAGATTTATATCTGATTCAAGTTTTAAAGAGTTTCCTAGGTCTCCTAAAGCTCCCCAAAATGTTCCATAAAAAACTGCCAATGTATGGCAATTAAATGCAATACATTAAGTGGTTTCTACATGAGATAAAAAATTGAGAGGTAGCATGGGAGAATGAAAAGAACACAGATCTGGCCCGGCCAGTGTGGCTCAGCAGTTGAGCATCAACCCAGGAACCAAGAGGTCGCTGGTTCAATTCCCGGTCAGGGCACATGCCCAGGTTGGGGGCTCAATCCCCGCATGGCAGCCAATCAGTGATGTTCCTCTCTCATGGATGTTTCTATCTCTCTATCCCTTGTCTCTCCCTTCCTCTCTCTCAATAAAAATATATTTAAAAAAATAAATAAAGAATACAGATCTGGAATCAGAATACCTAGATTTACAACCCAGGCAGGTCTATATTGTACCAGTTACATGCTGGCTGAGTTTAGGTTTCTTCTATACCACTACCCACCTCTCAGGCTTGCTGACTTTTAACGATGTAATAACTGTAAATAGTCTCACTGTTAATCCTTAAACAAAAGAAAGGACATTGAAGATACCTTACCTTTAGAGATCATTGTTTACATAAATTAAAAACTGCAAGTTCTCCCATACAAGTACTAACCAGGCCCGACCCTGCTTAGCTTCCGAGATCAGACGAGATCGGGCGCGTTCAGGGTGGTATGGCCGTAGACAAAAAACTGCAAGTTCTATGCTAAACTTTGCTGTGAAACACTGAGTTTTAATATCCAAGGAGGCATACACAAATAAATTTCTCAAAATTAAAAAAAAACTAACTGATTTTGTCTTCTCTAGCAATTGAGAAACTACTGAATAAGGATAATTATATAATGATGAGCAATAGAGAGTAAGAAAATGACATCAGTATTATGTTTTAATTTGGTCAAGAATATAGGCTTGGTGGTTTTTTCTTTTAATATTGCTCTAGAATAAGAAATGACACCCCTTTACCATGAATCAAGAGTTCAGAATCCTTGTTTAGCTCATAAAGCCTAAAGGCTTCTTCTAACTCCAACTGAGATGATACTGTACACGGGTCTCCTGCAAAATATAAAAAGTAAAGGTAAGCTCACTTTTTAAATCCTCTAATATGATAATTAGTAAATAGTTTCTGTTACATAAAGTCTTGAGGGGGAAAATGACATACATACAGAGAGAAATATTTGACAAGGACAAATCTTTACATATTTAGATAATTCTGCTCTCTGAAGTAGGTAATATATTTCCAGTTCTATTTCTACAACATACTCGAGGTTCATAGACACCAAATTTCATACAGATAAAACCATTTATTTCTCAATAATGTACATATTCAAAATGTAGAAACAGAATCTACCATTGATCACATTTTAGATTGTCAATGCCATATGACTAATAGCCAGGGACAAGCTTTCTGTCACCTGTTCCTTTAAAAGAGGAAGTGAAAGTAGTTCCACTGAGGTCTCCATGTAATCATTTTGTCAAATTCTTCCTTCACCTGAGAGCCTGCTCAAGAGACTCACAGAAAGGAAGTGTAGCTACTAAAGTACTCTGGACTGAAGAGCAGTCCTATTTGAGCTTTTAAATGTAAATATGTAGTTTCAGTAAACTTACACACAGAGAGGGGAAGGAAGAAACACCTCCCTTGGTCAACCGGCCAACAAAAAACTGAGTCATCCTTGGCAATCAATGAGATGACACATCTCCTCATAGGATGGCATTCTCGATGAAAAAGTCATTCTGAACATAGTTGGGGCCTGACCTGGGTCCTCAACGCTGCCATTCTTTTGCTCATTCCTGTGGTTACACCAAGTGTTACCACACATTACATGCCAACAACCCCATTCAAACCTCAATCACTCTCAGCAGAGAACTGGGTGTAGTACTTGATCGAGAAAAATGAAGTCATCTCCTGTCCTGCTATGAGTATGTCTGTCCTGTTCTCTAACTTGGCCACTCTATCCCTACTTCCTTCTTTCTTCTCTGGGGTATTATCCCACCAGTCTTCCTTAGTTCCATTTTTATTTTGGCTTTCCTTCCACTAGCTCTTCTCAGGAAAGCAAAGACATATTGGAGTCTTCCTCTCAAAAATCTCTCTCACACTCAAGAAGCATCGAAAATCTCTGAGAGAGGCAGGTGTCCTGCAGGACTTTGCATCCAGGCTCTCTCCCATGCTCCCGTCTCTCTGTGCAACTACAGCAAAATTATTTCTTTGAGTTTCAATTTTCTCCTATATAAAAAGAGGGCTATTATCTACATTGCAAGTATGAGGGGAAAACTAAAGACCATATATTTAAAATGACTCATAGTATGCCTGATCCATTATAGGTGTGGTTTTTATTATTGCACTTTGATCAAAAGCCATAAATGGATTTAACTATTGTTAAAGGCATCATTATAAACATATTTTTAAAAATCAATTTTTCGAGAGTCCTCCAGCCGTGCAGTCAGTGCCGTGGTTCTCCACCAGGTCTGAGATCTGAGCCCCAGCCAACCCGGTCACAGCAGAGATCGAAGGAGCCATGATTGCTCCCTGGCTTCAA